CTAATAATCAATCAACAACTGAAATTAAGTTTCAAACCGATGTTTTTAATTATAAATCAGACGGTAATAGTCAACAAATTCAATGGTATTTAAATTTTGCAAATAGTGATTTATTTGCATATTATGGAGGCCCTTTATTAGCTCAAGATGAATTACAAGTATTAGAATGTGTTGAATTAGCTGCATTGCGACAATATTTTCTTCAAGCAATTAATACAGTTGGATCACATACAGTTGGTTCAGATGCACATAATAATAAATCGGTACCAACACCCAGTATGTTTTCTTCTATTTGCTTAGTATAAAATTATAGTTTTTTAAAATTTTTCTTTTATTTTAGTTCTAATCAGTAATACTGAAAGAGTAATTGATTTAGATACAAAAGATATTTATGGTAATGCATTTGCCCATGCAAATAAAGAGCAACTTCAACATGCATTTAAACTGGTTGAACCACCTCAAGTTGTTAATTTAATTGCAATTGAAGCACCAAGTCATAGTGAAGGTTGTTATACATATGATCAAATAAATTACATTCTCACAAATTGTTATACGGGTTTCAAAGCAGCACAAATACTTGCTCATAAAACCCATGAAATGAACACATATACTACAAAGTCAAGTCACCAACGTCCAAGTCGTAGTGAAACGAATACTTTTCGTACAGTGATACATACAGGTTGGTGGGGTTGTGGTGCATATGGAAATAATCGACAAATGATGCTTATTACTCAAATGTTGGCTGCATATTGGGCTCACATAGATGAGATTATTTTTCATACACAGAATAACGAACATAGCAATGATATTACCAAAGCTCAAACAACATTTCAGAGATTGAAAAATGGGCACGATGTTAGAGAAGTCATAGAAGAAATCATCAAGTTAAATTTAGAATGGGAAAAATCCAATAATACATAAAACTTTATCAAGTTTTGCAATGTTACTAATTTTTTTCCAAATTACTCTGATTCATTTTAATTTTTCAGATTTCATACACTTTCAAAACGAACATCGAAAATAAAACATACAAGAGTATTTTTCAAAACTCAAAACGAATGAGAGCAATAAAAAAAGATTATAAAATCAAGAATCGCTACGATATATGCTTCATTTAAACACGAATATATTTATATTGAAGTTTTTCTTTTGTCTTAATTCGAATAGAAAAAAAAAACAGCTTAGTTAGACAAGCAATACTATATATTTTATAGTATTTTTCTACATAGATTGTATCGATAAAAAGTGTGTCAAGAACGCTAATACAAATACAAGTAGTACTTTCAAATTTCTCATAAGATATAATATAATCATGCTTTCCATAGATCTTATCCTATAATAATACTTATGCTTTATTTTCTGAATATATTGTTCATTTAAATATTTTGTATAGTTTCGCTTTCTTTTTTATCTGAAATAAAATTTTACAAATTACTTGCTATTTAATCAATTAAAACAGTGTTTATTCAATTAAATTTTGTACTTGATATAAATATTCTTTCTCAGAAAAAATTCATGACTATTAACAGACAATTTTTAGGATTAGAATCAATTATGTTCAAAGAGTTTTTATTATTTTCATCATACTTAGTATCGACATTAACGACCTCGTAGTTATTAGTGATAGAGAAAGAGCGGACATAGCTCATCCCAAGAGATTTCAAGAACTATGCTAAAGTTATCTTGTATGTAGGTTAGGGCGGTTTGAACCTATCGTGACCGTACTTGAAGCTGAAATACTCGATTCGTCACTAGGCATTATTAAGAATATCTCCATCTTGTCAGAAAATTTTCAAATAATTTTCTTTCCATTGTAACAATCAGTATTAGAGTTGGAAAATCATATTTGATAACCGATTGTATCATTAACACCTTTCTTATCATGACCATTCACACAATATTATCTTCGATATTATCAGAATGATATGAACGATATATTTTGCTTTTTGATTATATTCAGCATTATGTTGAAACAGTTATTCAATGATCGTTTGATTTATTTTTATAAGAATGATATTGTCAATTTGATTTATATAAACAATAGAATCAACTTTTATTTTCTTACTTTGTTTATTAAATCTCTGTAAAAGAAATTTTATTCTTCAAATAATTTATGTTGTCAATTGATTTTCCAAAAGCAAAAAATTAATGTCATCATATCATTCAAATTGAAGAAAGAAAACTTCGATATTAGGAAAATTTCTCTATTTGCAATATTATATTAAACAACGATACGCAAAATATTTTCGTTAGTTAAACGAGAAAACAAAAGTAGAGTATAATGTATTCACAACGTATCAATTATTCATATATATATATATCTGAAACAAAGATAGTTGTCCATTGATCCATACTATTCCATTTGCACAAAAAAAAAGATAAGAATGCACATACTGTAAAGAATTAGAAAAGAAAGAAGATAATGCTCAGTTTATAAAGGCATAAACGAGAATAAAAATCGATTTCTTATTACATTAGTGTAAATTTTACTAAGATTTAATTTCCTCATCAATTATTTTCAATTCTTCATCGGAAAAAATACCAGTAACATTATCGCAATCAGTGAAAAGTAATTTTTCAATTTGAAAAATCTTCAAGCGATAACTGACAGTTATTAGTACTGGACATATCCAACAAAGATTTACGGTGATACAACGATAAAAAAAAGCTGTTCTAATCAATACTAACTGTAATATTGATTAAGATAAATATGAAAGGAAGTCATAAACTATAGGCAACAAAAACAGAGTATTATCATCATTCAATGTGAAAAAGTCCTGGGCAATAAAAAATTCACATCATGAATGACATATTAGCGACAAAATTTGACAGATCATAATCAGAATGATTTATGATGTAGATTTCACTACGTTCAGTTATATTCAACAAGATTAACAATAGACACTAATTATATTTAAAAAATCTTAAATGTTGACATTTCTGTTATCTTATGATTTGCTTTTCATCAAGTAGTTATTTACGTAGATCTTTTCTGTTTTTTTTGCTAATCTTACTGAAAGACCATTCAATCAAATTGTTTTTCTTTTCTTACTCTTAGAACTTTTTGAAAAAGTTCAGATGTATTCAGTAAGAGAGTTTACTCACTTCTATTATGATCAGTGAATTTATTATGAATTAAGTAAGTATGTCCAGATATAATTAATCAAATTGATTCATCTCTTTGACATACATACATTTAGCAACAATTGATCAATTCATAATATTTTATTTTTATTCATATTGACTAGAATGAAATAATCTAAGATTAGATCGTTATTTGATAAGAATATTAATTTTTGGTTTAGTTAATAAATTAAATTTTCTATGAATTTATTATATATTGATTGTATCAACTATAATAAATAATTATACTTGTACAAGCAACAATATTATTTTCCATCATTATTTTTGGTTCATCTATTTTGTTAATTATATTTGTTTTCTATTGTGATTGTTTTATTTACCATATGGAAAAATGCCAAAAATTGCATGTGAGTTAGGCAAAGAATCAATATTGACTGTATTTATTCATATGTTATATAATACCCTAACTAATCATCACATTATATTCCATAGTGTATTTTCTTATTGGAATTTTTAATCTCATGACTGATCCAGTCATCACTTTGTTAATTAATTATCTGAAAAAAACTAACGTTCAAGTTATATAATATCTATCTTGTGATAAATACTATTCACAAAATTGATTGATCGTGATCTACACTTGAACAAATCTTCGTTTTATTTTCGTACGATTCATTGAATATTTAATTATTATATGTCTGTATATAGAAAGTATTGTTTAATATTAATTTGAATCAAAGAAGTTTTTTGACAATAGTGAATAGTCAAATTAAACCACAGATATGCATAGATTTGTTTTTTTTTAATCATGAAACGTTTTGCCGTTTTCTGTAATTAAAATACACATATTGGTTGCATTCATATCCGATAGAAAATATCTCCTAGTAAGTTGGAATCAGATTTTTATGATCTTTTTCGAATATGAACTTAGAAATAGTGTGTCTATGTTTATTTCAAGAGTAATGAAAACTTGCTAAAAAGACCTGAAAATGGAGCGCTAACAAATTTTTGTTTATCCTATAGGTCCTTCTTTGAACATACTAAAAGTCGTCGGAGTCGACCATTCTGTATAGCAGATACTTCTCTAGCACATGTGATTTTGAATTGTGTTGTAGTTTTTATTGAAGTAAAGCAACAGTAATTTTTTAAAGAATCTCTTTCAACGTAAAACGGTTGTCGAGTTTTAGAGATTGCATATTTAGGAAAAAAGAAAATTGAGTTGTTTTATCGAAAAACAGCCATAGTAAAAATACAAAAATTTTCCGTCTGCTCTAATTATTTGGGCTTTCCAAAGATTATTTCATTACGCTCGAACATAAACTGAAACAAAATTTCAAAACTCATATTCGAAAAGAGCATAAAATTCTAACCCTAATTCATAGCTTTTGATACTGTCTGGTTGCTCAAAAGAAAACAAACATCCAGTATAAAGATTTTTCGATCATCCATTAATTGTTTGTTTTGGTTCTACTAAGAATTGACTTAAAAAAAAAGGACAAATATTGACTCGGCATTATCATATTTGAATAATAACAACGTCTCCTGTGATGATTAATGGAAATAATAAGATTGACAGGATCGATTAATAATCAGTCAAATATCCATATATTACTTAGGTTCTTTTTTTTTTATTTTTACTTACCATGATGAGTATTTTTATGCTGAAGTATTTGTAATCAATAATAAAAATTGTTCAAATTTTGGAAAAAAAAAAGAATCTAAATAGTACTTTTAAGAATGAATAAATAAATCAAGTTTATTAAATCGTCGTTTGAATTGTGTTCTATTAATGTACAGTTGACTTTTCTTTTTTTTTTTTTTTATTGCGAAGCCGGTTTATTTATATTTCAACTGAGTTATGATTATAATAATAATACAAAATAAGCTGCAAAAAAATTCAATATCAAAATTTGTTTTTAAGGCAAACGAACAAGTTGAATAGGAACATCTTCATCTCTATGTTGCAATAACATTTCGCCTTTAAAAGTCAAATAACCTTGTTTACGAGCTTTCAATAATACACCAACTAATTTATCCGAAATGTTCGCATAAATCTTAAAAATAATATAATATAATATTAAAATTAATTTTATTTTATATATAGTATCTCCCACAATTTGTCAATAAGGTTTATATTCAATTTTTTTCGATTGTCATCAACGCTAATTAGAATTCAATATTTTCCGTAAGATTGACTTATCTCAATAACCAAAGAAAACATTGTAAACAGCTGGAAGACGTTTCATTTTAAAGGCAAGTGTTTGCTTTAGTATTCTAAGTAATTCAAACAGGATTCTATTTGAGAATTCTAGATAATGAAGAACTTGAGTTTCGATTTTTCACGGTCTCTTTACCTTAAAAATTCTTTTTGGAAATGAAACTTTCTACACAAATTACTATTTAAATTCTTCATATAGGGTTGATGACTGTGAAAGAAAGAATTAAAAATAAACCTAGTCGAATAATTTTTGGGAGATATTGTATATACATATGACATACTTCGAATAAATCACCAAATTTAATTGTTATAGTTCCATCTTGTTGCTGACCATTGGTTTGAATAACATGACATAATTGTTTCATTTCTTCCAAAACTTGTTCTTTAATTTCCTGACCTCGATGTGCTAAACTATTAGTGTAAAATGAAAAGAAATGATATTTTTATTTTTTTGTTTAAATATAAATTTTCTTGCTCAGCTTTATCGGCAGATGGTGGTGCACCTATTTGATTGACTATTTCTTGAAATTTATTTACTCGACTTGCCAAATGATTTTTTTTCTCTTTTTGTTGTTTAATAAAATTTTTATCATAATCCATACTTCTATCACTTGTGTCCATCTTAATACGTAATATAACGAAGTTGTTGATCTATTGTGCTAAATGTATAAGAATAAGCAAATCATACAAGCGGAATTCATGTAGGATGGGAAAAGAGAAGAAAAAAACATACATATCTGCATAAAATAACTACACCAATATTTATAGCAAAAAGAACGCAAATGGACACAAAAGGCAATCATTCCTCATCCTACATAAAGATATATAAATCATATGCGGAATGCATAAGGTTGATATTGGACGGAAGAAAGAAAGAGAGTTGCTTCGACGACAGCTTAACTATTCATCTATAACTCTTTATTACATGATCTTCTTTTTCAATATTAGCATGCTACCAAAATTTACAATTAGATCAAGTAGAGAAGAGTGCCTCATCATATCGATTATTTAATGGAAATCCACATGATATTACAACCTTATATGATAGTGATATACACGTCCTTGATATTATTTATACTTTATCCTATGCACTACGTGACATCATTTTTTGTATTTTCTCTTTCGATGTGTATGCTTAATTGACGTTCTGATGAGACGAGTGATAGTAAATAGTCCGTACTAACTAGTTTCTCGAATAATATATGGATAATTGGAAAGATAGAGAAAAAGTAGACAAATAGATATCAATTTATAGCAATACAATGTTCGTAAGACTATTATTCTGATGGTACAATGAAATAGAATATTTCAATTATTGATTCGAGTACAATTATGTTTTAGTTAAATGATAACAACAACTTATTAATACATCGAAATTTTAATTTGAACACAAAATCAAATTGTTAATAACTTATAGATTGATTTTTCTTTGAATTAGAATAATGGAAATACAGAAAAAAAAAAGTACATGAACTAACTTTCATAGGAGTATTTTTGTTTTATTCCTTAAAAAGAAACAGGATACGACTTTCTAATGTCAAAATATTATTTATAGTTAGTAAAATAAACAACGTCATTCAATGCAGCAATCTATGAATTATCATAATTTAATATCTACTTTTGTATGGATATTATCAGGATGAAAATGAATCAATTAGATAGTAGAAGTATATGGTATTATCAGATTCACTGCATAAATATTACGATACTATTTTTAATACTCAAAAATAAACATTAATATTATGAACATGACTCGTTTCAAAGTCAACTTTATAATAATAATTAATCATAAAATTCACACTTCTATGATCACAAGTATTTTGCATTGAACATATTCTCTAACTGTCAATTGCTATATTTTTCCTAGAATGACAAACGTAATAGACATTTTGCATTTTCCTTTTTGAAATATCCTAAAGATTACATATTTTTTTTAATAAAAAAAGAAAGAAAGCTGCTTTATATTTTTCTCCCAGTGATTATTTCAAATTTGTTTGGTTTCACACTAATTATGCTTGATTTTTCTTTTTTTTTAACTAGTAGAAGTACGCCAGAAGCCATAAACATATGTATTTAATCAAATAAAATCTATGTGAAATATTTATCATTGTGATGTTTCATAACAACGAGAAGTTTTTTTTACTGATACGTAATATTGTTCAAATATTTTATCCAATGAATATGAAAGAGATTTTTTTTTTATGCAATGTAATGAGAATGAAAAACTGAAATAAGGAATAAAAAAAAACCAAAGAAGAACACGAGATTAGTTCAATAAAGTGTATTTCTTTGTATGCATGCAGTTGTCAAAGCAAGGGGAAAGGTAAAAATGGAATCAACATACTCATATGAAACAAGTATGTAAATGTGATTTGCTTTTGTTTCTTTTCTTTTTCTTCTTCCATTCTTTTACTCTTTCTTATTGCATATGTTAGAATAAAAATCACTAACGAGCATGTCAAACATAGAGTAATGGTGGTGAAGCAAACATACGACTAAAAAAAAAAAACAGACAACTTTCGATTGATCTGCATGTATTTGTGTTTTTAATATAGATGCAGTCTCAAATTGAAAGTGAACATTTAGCATTACGTACAAATCTTATTTCAGTTGATCGACCAGATTCATCACAGGTAGAACATGTAAGATATATTAATAGGATATTTCTATAGTTAGTTATTTAGCTTGTTGATCTTCATGTTTATATAATACCAAAAAATATTTGGAAAAATCGTCAAAATTTAGCAGAAAATGAAACAATGGAACAAGCTATATCAGCTGGTTTTGTTCAGTAAGTTATTTTAAACGAATAAAAATGATTTATATATAATTCATTAAAAGTGTACCACAAAATTTAACTATACATGAACTTCGTCAAATTATTTTTAAAATTTGTGGTCAAGATGATCAATTTCCTAAAGATTTTATTTATCTACGAAGTGTTGGTCGATGTTTAACTAAAGTATAAATTATATAAATAAAATGATAACAAAAATATATTATATTATTTTAGGTAAAACCTCAACAAGAAACAGATCTACGAGTGAAAAATTATCGACCACCGATGGTTCGTAATTTTTCATTATTATATTTTAGTTATAGTTAAATTTATTTCTATATTTTTAGACATTTGCACCGGAAGTAAGATGTTTATTTTATTTTATTTTTTTTCATTCGAAAATTGACATAAATTAAACAATTCTTATAGATTTATATTCTAGAAGGACACCATGATGATGAATCCTCAACACCAACCAATACAAAAGCTTATATTTTTCGTGAATCACCTATTCATCGATCATTAATGACTCCATCACAGTTGACTACAAATCGTCAACAAAGTTGGGTCAGACCAAATGCTGTTCCATCGTTACAGTCATCAACAGCAACATATCGATCATTGGTTCATTCTAGTGAACGAAAAAATTCAACAAATCTTAATGGACCTGCTATTTCTTCATATTCAAAGTAAATATCAAATCAATATATAAAGAAAAAAAAATATGTGTGGAAATTTTCTTTTTTTTATCTTTTATGAAAGCTTTTCAACAGCTTCGAATGTACTTAGTGCCAGGTAGAACATTTCTTTACTAGCAAACAAAATTGTAATTTCACACTATATCGAATATTCGTCACTGTAGAGAGTTAGCAAAATTAAGAGAAGAACAAGAACGTCTTCGTTTACGTCAAATTGAATTAGCTCGACAACGACGTGAAATTGAACTAGAACAACAAAGACGTGAAAAAGAATTACGTGAAAAACAAGAAAATTTATCTCGAGAACAACGACAAAAAGAAGAAAAAGAAGCAGCTATTCGAATTCAAGGAGCTTATCGAAATTATCGAAATCGACGTAAATTAAAAGAAAAACAACTACGACAGTAAGTCCTTATTTTGTTGATTATTTGTTTTTTTTTCCGATAAATAATTTGAAAGTATATAAAAATACATCTTGCATAATTCAGCAATGAAGACGATGTACATCATTATAATAAAAGGTTGTATCAGTAATGATTTTCTTTTTTTTTTTTTTCTCACATATTTTATTCGATTGCTCTTGTTGATGATGAATGTGCCATCACTTTTGAAATGAAGTGCATATCAGCGTCAAATTGTGTTTGTCTTCCACTTGTTTATATTTACACAATACTCACATTTCTCACTCCCATATATCGCTTTATTTATATATATATACATCTATTACATATAAATAATTCACATTAAGTATTATTCCCTTCACAGAGACGATGCAGCCGCCCGAATCATCCAACGAGCCTATCGGGAACATCGTAAACGGCAACAACAAAATAGTGAATGATGACAATGCATGAATTTATGTTGTTTTGACTAGTTGTTGTTATTGATGCTATTGTACTTTCTCAGCATTTTCGATAGAAAGAAAAAAAAAAGAATCGAAATATATATATATGCGTTTCAGAATATCGAATTTTGTTAACTATCGAGGATTGTGGTCACCAGAACCAGACGAACGACGAATACCATCGTCGATTGAACAGAGAAATGCATATTCAACACCATTAGAGAGGTATCGAAAATGGCGAAATGAACATCAATGGTCAGCATCATCTTCTGTTAAAAGCGAAAATATCAACATGAAAAAATCTGATGCCGATCAGTCTTTTGGCTTTTCTTCTTTCAGACATGCTGCCAATGAACTTGAACGTTTACAAAAAGAGGCACGGGAATTAACTCGTCGTAAAGCTGAAGAAGAGCATGTAGAAGAACTCAATGCTCATGATGGTAAATTGATTGACTGATTTTTATGTAGACAATGTTTTGATATGTTTATGCTTTTTTTCTAGTTGTGAAACTTTCAGATCATCTTCAAGAACTAAAAACAAAACGTACTGCATTAGAAGCAGCTCGTGAAACAATTATTCGTCAAATGCAACAGTTACATGCTCAAATTGCTGTTCGTCGAAAAGAAGGTTAAATCAATATATTAGTTGTTTTTTTCTATTTTTCTGATTTTATCTTTATTTTTTTTTTTTTTTTTCGTTTCAACTTTTAGAAAGAGATTTATGGAAACAAAGATATCTTATTGAAAAGAAAAAAACAGCTGCACTTGAAGAACGAGGTCGAATGACATTGGTCTGAATATATAATATAGATCAATTGTGAATACCTGTAATCATATTGATATGTCTTTTTTTTTTCTTTTAGAATGAACAATCAGATATAAATACTGAAATTGAACAAGCTAAAATTCGTTTGAATAATAGCACAAAAGTATAATGAAATAGCTTGAAATAATAAAAAAGGAAAATTATTATTTTCATTTTATTATAGCTTCGACAGCAAGCTGAAAATGAATGTCATCTTTTAAGAGAAGAATTACAACAAATTCGTACAAATATGAATAATTTAGAAAACCAACCATTATCAAAACAACCATCTCCTGTACAACAAAAACAACAAACTATACCAATTTCTCTTGACATCACATTGCAATATTAAATTCATCTTTCTATATAACTTGGATTTCTCTTTTTAATATAGAATTTAAAATAAAAATCATCAGTTGTGATTCAATGCAAGCTTATGTCATAAGAGACGTCGAAAATTTTTACTTTTTGATCATTGGTATCATATACAAAATCTCAATATATAGAAGAATTGTTAATTTCATAAATTATGAGAATTATATCAATGTGTTTAATAAATTTGATCTATTTATTTTATAAATTGCGTAAAAATAATCAATTGTAAAAACTAACATTAATAATAGTTATGATAAAATTTAAATTTAAACAAATAAACATATGATTCATAGAAGAAAAGAAATTAGTATATTTCGTCTTCATATATTATTATATAATAGAAAAAACAGTATTGGTTGTAAACCGAAGAACTAATCTTATTTTTGTAATTTTCAAAAAATTTCCCGGAATTTTTTTCGTTCTACATACCATACAATGAATTTCTATTTTTAGCAATACATTGGCATCGTTAAGATGGCCATCTTTCAAAAACTTCTATTGTTGTCAAAAGAAAGGATTTTTGATACAAACATACAAAAATATTGCATTGAAGTGTCTACTCTTAACATTTATAAAACTATTTTTCAATTTCTGGAATGTTTCGAAAACATTTACTAGAAGCTTCTGAAGTGAGGTAAAGTAAAACTGAAGAAAAACTTGAAGCAACTTCATTTGTTATTAACTGTACGCGTAATTTAAAGTGCAATTGCACGCATCTTGATTACAACCAATACATGACATGACCATATTTCATATTGATGTCTAATGATAGATTGATTTAAATCTAGAAAAAAAGTTTTTACGCTTTTTTTTTATCATCGATTTCTATGTCTATGGTACAACTCCAAGTAAAAGGAAGAAGAGAATTCTTCAATTAATAGAGACACGATGGATTTTCTAAAATTGAACACTTCAGATTTCTAAAACGAGAAAAGAAACTCATTTTTCACATCTGCAGCTACAGAAGTATACTGAAGAAAAATATACACGTGAAAGATCTGTTGTACACCATAAACGCTAGAAACTCTTGAATAATGAAGTTAGCAGATGTATAAAATATTTCGTAACTTTACTTTTATGGTTTCAACATTTAGAAAATGTTTCCCGGAAGTATTATGTACTTCATTGAAAATCGATTTTGAAAGAGGGACCGATAGAGCCCGTCGGATTCAAAATTTTTGAATTGGGATCTGGTCAAATCGTACTTTGATAGTCACAATGAAATTTTCTAATCGAAATTCGATAGTTACCCTGAAGATACGAATTTTATTTTTGGGCTTTTCATATTCAGTGACTAACGCACCTTAAATATCATCAGGTTCAGGTTCAATCAGGCTGACTCTAGGGTGCGGCCTAAAAGTGCCGTACATTTTATTTTCGAAAGTAACTGCTTTGGTAATGTGAGCGAATAAAGCGTTTACTTTCTAACTCAATGGCCAACGACGTTGAAATTTCATATTACTAATTACGTATTAGTATTTTACAATAAAGTCAAAAACAAAAATTGATAGATAGATCTTGAGACATTAAGAAAAAATAATAATCAGATTTAATTAATTAATTTTGTTTCTCTAAAATTGAAAATAATATCAGAAACAAGAAGAAACAAAAAAGTCAAAGATGTTAACTTCATCTTTCTTTTTCATGGAATCAAATGAGATTTATTTTTGATCATACATTCATTAAAGATAATTCATAGTCTACGATTCTGTATTTGCTCCTATATCTCAATAAACTTCAATTAAATGTAAGTCACAGTTTAATTTGAAAAAGCTAACATTAAACATTATTTTCAATATATTCTACATGTATAAGTTCATCTTTTATTACAATGAAATACAACATGTTATTTTTCTTGGAAAATTGTTCAATGAAAGCCTATGCATGATACCTTTCTGATCAATATTTTTCATATATATATAAGATCTAATGTCTATGAAGATATGTATCTTATACAATATATCGATTTTTCTTCGAGCCTAATCATGACTTTTTTCCGGTAAAATATTTTGATAAACATTTCATTTAAAATCCTTTTCATGATGAAATAGTATATTTACATTTTGTTATCTTCTATTTAAATCAAAACTTCAATAGAGCAAAATAATACGTTTTCATCTGATAATCTATTCTGATGACAAACAATAATGAAAATCAGCTACTGATCATCCGAGCAATTTTCTTTTTGATCCTTACACAAATACACATGTTTGTAATGTGATACTATAAGATGACCGATTATTCATTGTTTCTTTTTTTTTTTCTTTCTCTTCATTAAATATGAACTCTGTACGTATCATCCACAAGAGAAAAAAAAAACGAAAGTGATTTTACATATACAAACGTTTAGAGAGTCAGAATATGATGCATGTATAACATGGAAAACGAGAGAAAACTATAATGAACAAAGGTTTCAATGCGGAAAAAATAAAGATACAAATAGAAAAAGAAAAACGAAAAAAAAAAAAATGAATGATAAAGAAGAGAGTATACATGTATTGCAACCAGATCGATCACCTCGGATACTGACTAGAAAGAATAAAAAGCGAGAGAGAGAGAGAGTGAGTGAGAAAGATAAAGACTGAAATATAAATAAACTATGTCTCTCGTTTAAGTCCGTTTAAAAGAGGCATCGGTGTTGGTTGTAAAAATGAATCAAAATAAAGATGATGATGATGGGGAGGAGGTGGAGGAGGAAAACGAGTTCCTGGTAGTCCTATTGGATATCGATGATGAGAATGATGAAGAAAAGAAGTTTGTGGTGATGACGATGATGATGATGAATCTTTTCTTGATGTCGTCGTTGTCATCATAGCCATTGGTACAGTTCCATTTGTTGATGAAGATGAACCACTACCATTTGAATTTGGTGGTTGTTGATGCATTAATATACGTGATTTATTTTCTTCATCTGAATCAATCGATATAGAACCATGATGAGGTGAATGATTACCTTCATTTGTATTTCTTCCTTCAGGGTGTTCCATCATTGGTATATCACAATGATCGATAACATCATCGGAATCATCAATATTATCAGCATCATCGTCTTCACTCCATGGACCACCACCAACTGAATTCGGTCCTGCACAAGCTGTTTCATCTTCAGTATAACGAAGACATTTTTTCTTTCGTCTAGCAGAAAAAAAACAAAAAATTTACAATGTCTTTTATTATATTTTACTTAATACATACTTGCAATGTTTACACCAATTCGATTGTTGATCAAGACCAAATCTTGCACGACATTTTTTCTGATTAAGACATTCTAAATATAAAACAAAAGACAAAAAACAATCATTAACTTAAAAAAATAATTTTAATTGTACCTCCATTTTCACCTTGACTTTTTTCTCTTTTTTTTCCTTTACTTCCACGTTTTTTTCTTGAACCATAATTATCTCGAGCTGACCATCCCGGATACAATTGCATATGTCTCATACGTTCATCACGTGCCATATCATAATATTTTTGTTGAACATTACGATCAAGTTCATGCCACTAAAGAAAAACAAAAAAGACAATTTTTTTTTTTTTTTTTATTGAAAAAATCTCTTTATTCAGTTATACTTTTCGTCCAAGAATTTGATTTATTGCTGCACTTTCACGTAGTGTACATTCTTGTACAACTTGAGCTCGTTGTTCTTTCATAAATAACATAAAAGCATTCAATGGTTTTTTAATATGAGGTTTTTTTGGTTTATTATCGTCATGAGACATTGAAAGTTTATGATGTTGTTGATGATTTTGTGGACTATTATCCATAGATCTTATATTGATGTTAATAAAAATATAAAATGAATAGATTATTTTAAATAAACATACCTATGTGATGTTGATCGTTTTGGTAATAATGAACTGTTATTATGATTTGTTATTGATGATGAATGTCCACTGGTTGTATGTGTTGATGGTGAACCTTGAGAGAGAACACTTGGAGAAAATGGATATCCCGGTGGAAATACAAATGGAAACATAGGTGGACGCCTGAAGTTAAGAAAAATAAATAAATATTTGAAAATTTATTAAAAAATCAACAAACCAATGCTGAGCATAAAGTGATTGAAAAGAAGATGGCGATGATAATGAATACATTGAACTAGGTACACCTATATATGCAAATATATGTGTATATATAGAAATTAATATTCATTTTAAAAATAATATCTTTATTATATCTAAGTAATATATTGATGTTGTAATCAGACTAGTTTCTCGAAAATTTTTAAGAGACAATTCATTCTATGCGAAGGAAAATCATCATATAAATGAGAATGGTTTAATTGGTAGATACATTCAAGATAAAGTTTCGCCTTTTAACTATTATCTTGATAAGATATGAAACTAATGTTGAAACAGTTATTGATCAAATATGTATACTATTCAATATATAATTGTTATACAACTATGTATTGTCAGTTATAAAGTTTAAATAAAATTATTATTTCATATAAAACAATAATTTTTGCAAACAGAAAAAAAAATCTTTTTTTTCTATTGACCCATTTTATATTTCATTTTAGTTGATCATGAATTCAAAAGAGAAATATATAAATAATGCAAATACAAATATGTTAATTTAGATCAAAGTAAAAAGATTTTTAAATGCAATAGGTATGAATTGTTTTCATTTGTAAAAGACTCGATTTATTAAAGAACAAACAATGATTCTTTCTTTTCTAATCACTAATAAAATATTGCTGTCATTATAGAAGATTAATAACAAAATCTTTTATTCAACCAAAATCTTTATAATTCGATACAAATATCACATTTATTAAGTATCTTTTTTTTTTTTGGAGCAGCCGAATATTGAAAGATTTATCATATATAGAATAAATAGTAAAATAATATGAATCTACACTCGTTTTTTTTTTTGGGTTCTTTTGTTGTAGTCAAAAATAGAAAACTATTATGTTCATTTTTATATTGTATAATTATAGCATTGATTATTACATCGGGATTCTAGTGGATGCA